CCAACAACAAGACAGAAGAAAGAGAAATTAAGGAGTCAATCCCTTTACAATTGCACGCAAATCTATAAGATACCTAGGAATAAACCTAACCAAAGAGACTAAGAATCTATACACAGAAAACTATAAAGTACTCATGAAAGAAATTGAGGAAGACACAAAGAAATGGAAAAATGTTCCATGCTCCTGGATTGGAAGAATAAATATTGTGAAAATGTCTATGCTACCTAAAGCAATCTACACATTTAATGCAATTCCTATCAAAGTACCATCCATTTTTTTCAAAGAAATGGAACAAATAATCCTAAAATTTATATGGAACCAGAAAAGACCTCGAATAGCCAAAGCAATATTGAAAAAGAAAGCCAAAGTTGGTGGCATCACAATTCCGGACTTCAAGCTCTATTACAAAGCTGTCATCATCAAGACAGCATGGTCCTGGCACAAAAACAGACACATAGATCAATGGAACAGAATAGAGCCCAGAAATAGATCCTCAACTCTATGGTCAACTAATCTTTGACAAAGCAGGAAAGAATGTCCAATGGAAAAAAGAGCCTCTTCAATAAATGGTGTTGGGAAAATTGGACAGCCACATGCAGAAAAATGAAATTGGATCATTTCCTTACACCACACACGAAAATAGACTCAAAATGGATGAAGGATCTCAATGTGAGAAAGGAATCCATCCAAATCCTTGAGGAGAACACAGGCAGCAACCTCTTCGACCTCAGCCGCAACAACATCTTCCTAGGAACATCGCCAAAGGCAAGGGAAGCAAGGGCAAAAATGAACTATTGGGATTTTATCAAGATCAAAAGCTTTTGCACAGCAAAGGAAACAGTTAACAAAACCAAAAGACAACTGACAGAATGGGAGAAGATATTTGCAAATGACATATCGGATAAAGGGCTAGTGTCCAAAATCTATAAAGAACTTAGCAAACTCAACACCCAAAGAACAAATAATCCAATCAAGAAATGGGCAGAGGACATGAACAGACATTTCTGCAAAGAAGACATCCAGATGGCCAACAGACACATGAAAAAGTGCTCCATATCACTCGGCATCAGGGAAATACAAATCAAAACCACAATGAGATATCACCTCACACCAGTCAGAATGGCTAAAATTAACAAGTCAGGAAATGACAGATGCTGGCGAGGATGCGGAGAAAGGGGAACCCTCCTACACTGTTGGTGGGAATGCAAGCTGGGGCAACCACTCTGGAAAACAGCATGGAGGTTCCTCAAAATGTTGAAAATAGAACTACCCTATGACCCAGCAATTGCACTGCTGGGTATTTACCCTAAAGATACAAACGTAGTGATCCGAAGGGGCACGTGCACCCGAATGTTTATAGCAGCAATGTCTACAATAGCCAAACTATGGAAAGAACCTAGATGTCCATCAACAGACGAATGGATAAAGAAGATGTGGTATATATACACAATGGAATACTATGCAGCCATCAAAAGAAATGAAATCTTGCCATTTGCGACGACGTGGATGGAACTAGAGGGTATCCTGCTTAGTGAAATAAGTCAGAGAAAAACAACTATCATAGGATCTCCCTGATATGAGGGAGAGGAGATGCAACATGGGGGGTTAAGGGGGTAGGAGAAGAGTAAATGAAACAAGATGGGATTGGGAGGGAGACAAACCATAAGTGACTCTTAATCTCACAAAACAAACTGAGGGTTGATGGGGGGAGGGGGGTTGGGATTATGGACATCGGGGAGGGTATGTGCTATGGTGAGTGCTCTGAAGTGTGTAAACCTGGCGATTCACAGACCTGTACCCCTGGGGATAAAAATATATGTTTACAAAACATAAAAAAAAAAATCAACCCAGTGAGGTCCACAACAGGATATACAGTTAAAATGGCAAGAAGTAGTATAGAATTTTAAAAGCAGCAAGAGAAGACAGTTACAAACAAAGGAAACCGCATAAGACTATCAGCTGATTTTTCAGAGAAACTTTGAATATATCATTAACTCCCTCTGGCTCCCTCAAAGTGCTAAAAGAAAAATCCTGGGTCACCTGGGTGGCTCAGTCATTAAGCATTAAGTGACTGCCTTCTGCTCAGAGCATGATCCCAGGGTCCTGGGATAGAAACCTGCATCGGGCTCCCTGATCAGCAGAAAGCCTGCCTCTCCCTCGCTCACTTCCCCTGCTTGTGTTCCCTCTCTCGCTGTGCTTCTGTCAAATAAATAAAATCTTTAAAAAAGAAAGAAAGACATTGATCAAAAAAGAAGAAAAATCTTGCAACCAGGAACACTCTATCCAGCAAGCCTATCATTTAGAATAGAAGGAGAGGTAAAAATTTTCTCAGGAACAAAAGTTAAAGGAATTCATGACAACTAAACCTGTCTTACAAGAAATGTTAAGGACATTGAGTGGAAACGAAAGGCAGTAAGAGTAAGGGAAGTGTGGGAGGCCACGGTAGGGCTTAGACGAGAACCAAACCAGGCCCTGACTTGTGCCTCCTTTAAAGGCTGAATAGCCAAACAAAAGGCTTAGGTCGATAAAGTCGAGTAGCACTAAGAAAGGGTCTGTGCTATGTGTTGTGCGCTCGCCTACGTGACTTCCCACACATTTGCTAGTCAGATAGAGATGATTTGGCCAGGGTCAGAAATTCTTGGCTGGTCCTTGCTGTCCTTGCACGGGCTATAGACTACACCACTATAAGACTGTGCTGTGCTTACACAAACTATGTCTTGGGTGGCCTTGAAGTCAGTACATCTGGCGCTAGAGGGTCTGCTATTGGTGCTTGGGAAATAGATAATGGGAAAGCTTGAAGGATTTTCTGTGCATGTTGCAAACTCTTTAGTAATCAGCTAAAAATAGATACTTTTCTTATGATTGCTTCTGTTAGTTATATAATACCTCACAGCCTTGAATAAAATCGGCACTATTGGACATCCTCCTTGGTGCTCCTCCTGCCCCCATCTCTTTCTCTCTTAATTTCTTTTCAGCATCCTCTTACCCTCTCGACCCTGGTCGATTTGTCGCGCCGGCCGCGACAAGCAAGAAATATAAAAGCAGTAAAACTTGGTACATCTATAAAAATCAGTCAAGGGATTCATAAAATAAGAGGATGTTAGTAGGACACCATCTACCTAAAACACGGGGGTGGGGGCGGGTAGAAGAGTAAAGAATGGATTCAAACTTAAGCAACCATTGCCCAAGTATAGATTATTATATGTATAAGAGGTTATAAACTCAATGGTGACCACAAATCGAAAACCAGTAACAGATTTACAAAGAATAAAGAGAAAGGAATCCAAGCATAGGACTCCAAAAAGCCAGCAAACAGTGAAGAGCAAGAAGGGAACAAAGAACTAAATAACCACAAAACAAGTAACAAAATGGCAATACTTACATACTTATCAGTAAATCTTTGAATGTAAATGGACTAAACACTCCAAAAGACGGTGACAGAACAGATAAAAAAGCAAGACACATCTATATGCTGCCTGTAAGTCTCATTTCAGATCTAAAGACACATGCAGATTAGAAGCGAAGGGATGGAAAATTATTTGTCATGAAAATGGATGTGAAAAGAAAGCTGAGGTAACTATATTTCTATCAGACAAAATAGACCTGAAAACAAAGACTTGTGATCTGTCTGCACTCTGCCTTGACCTCCTTGTGTGGCCCCTGGAGGTGCACTGGGTACTTCCCTCCAGGATCTGAGGAATGAGGTTATGAAGGCACATTGTTGAGAAAAGATGGTGGCGGAATGAATAGGAGGACTGTAGGCTTATTTCGTCCCACAAACATGACTAGATAACTATCAAATCATCCTGAATACCCCAAAAGTTGTTCTGAGGATGGACAGAATAAATGCCACAACTAAAGGGAGAGAAGAGGTCACACTGAAGAAAGTAGGAAGTATGGATCTCTGGTGCTGTGGAGGGGAGAGAGCTGGTCTCAATGAAAGGCAAGGGAGTACACAGGAGAACACACAAGGAAAACATCTCTCCAAAGTCATTGGCTTGGAAAATGAGAAGGGCTGAATTTTGTGAGGTCTGGCAACCAGCAGGGCTTTAAAAGTCTGGAGTTTTAAAGGTCACTGGTCTTGGCTGTGATAGAGCCTAGAGGGCATGGATTGCTTCTGGACAGGAGGCAGGAAAACCACCTGGGGGCAGGCTCAGTCATTTAGGCATCATCCAACTCTTGGTTTCAGCTCAGGTCATGATCTCACAGTGGCGAGAAAGCCCCATGTCATGCTCCATGCACAGCATGGAGTCAGCCTGAGATGCTTTCCCTGTTCCGGTTTTAAGTACCTGCTCTCCTTCTCCCAACTTTAATTGCGCCATAAAACATTCTCCATGTTAACCACTCTAAAATATATAGTTCAGTAGCATTAAGTGTATTCACATTGTTGTATCACAGATCTCTGGAATTGTGTCTTGCAGATCTAAAACTCTATCCGTTAAGCAGAAGTTCCCCATTTCCTTCTCCCCACAGCCCCTGCTCTACTTCTTGTCTCTATCACTTTGAGAGATATCCATAAATGGAATGATAGGATATGTGTTTTGATTAGCCTATTCACGTAGTGTAATGTCCTGAAGGTTCATCCTTATTGTAGCATGTGCCAGACTTTCCTTTTAAAGCTGGATCGTATTCCATCCTTATTCACCATTAGATGGACATTTGGGTCACTTCTACCTCTTGGCGATTGAATAATATTACAACAAACATCGGTATGTCCATCTGTTTTCAAGTCTGCTATCTAGAAGTGAAATTGCTCTCACATGGTGATTCTGTTTTGAAGTTTCTGAGTGACTATAACTATTTTTACAATAAAAAAAATATCTCAGGAAAATAATTGAATCCTGAAGTTACAAAGTGAAGGAGTCCTCAACCTCGTACCCTTGCACCCTGGCCCTGAGCAGTGTTCCTTCCATCACACTATACCATCTCCCTCCTACCTCAAAGGACAAAGTCTGCTCTAGAATCAGAACTAAATGTGGAGTGGTTTAGAATTATCTTACCTAGTACGCTGAAATTAACCACTGCTTCCTTCAGAAGTCTTACTGAGTCCCATAGAGCACTCTGGAAAAAAATAAGTTACGTTCATGAGCACATAATGTATTTGCATATAAACAATCTCTAAGCACTTGGTTTAAGTAGGAATCAAACATAGTTACCTTACTATTGTCTATATAAAAAGTGACACTCTGACTTCCGAGGTTGAAGTCAATCCAAAATTTCTCTAGTTTTTCATCTTCTGGTTTTCTCATCTGTAAGATATAATTTCAACATGAATTGTGTACATGTCCTGTTAAAGAGTCAGAGGGAAATTAGTCCACTAAAAACAACTTCTGCTTTTCTTGGAAAAACACTACTTTAATACTGTAGGAGGTCTTTATTGCCTTACTTCTGCAAAGCAGGAGGAAGGTCTTAACTTCATATAACTAAGGTATTTCTGGAAAAAAAAAAAAAACACAACCACTATCCTTAGCTTAACATTTGAAAGATGTTTAAATGTGTCAGAGGACTCTATTCACATATTTCCCCCCTGAGAGAATTATAAGTAGTCCTATATTGAAGCAGAAACAATAGAAATACTGCACAGAAATGGAAACTAAGAAAAGGAGGTATTATCAAATATAAGTGATTATTTGCCATCTACCTTACTATATCCATTAGAGCTAAAATGTGAAGATTTAAAATTACCTTCATTTTAATTGATTGTAAAATAAATAGGTGCTTATAGGAAAAAAGCTTCAAACCACATTGTTTATAGAAACAGTCAATGTCTCCTTCTCTGCCCTTCAACTTGGTATCTTTCCAGAGAAAGATTAACGATGTCTTTGTTTCCTCCCAGATGTTTTCTAGACATATCAGAAATATATGAAGAGTTTTTATCTTAAGACTGGGGAAAAAAAAATAGACCACTTGCTTTTCTGAAAATGGCATTTCTTGGGCAATTTTCCATCATATGTGCTTATTTCTTTGAATGAAGGCTTTAAATATAATGTATGTTATGGGAAGCCAGTTGAGGGCCATGTTGAAGCTGATGAGAATCTATAAAAAAAAAAAAAAAAAAAAAAAAAAAAAAAAGATCTACCACCAAGCAGATACTGGAAACTTCAGATAACCAGAGGAATAAAAATAGAGATACAGAAATCAATCAGGCTACTAAAATCAGTCCTAGGGAGAAGAAACTTGTGGTAGAGTCAGGAGTTAAAGGTTCAGCTCACAGAGGCGGAGAAACACCCTCTAAACTCAAAGCAAGGAAATGGTTGATGAGGACTTTTTGATGACAAGGTCCAGGAAACCTCAGCTGAGTTAAGGTTCATAGGTCTTTGAAGAATGTATCCCCTGTGAAGATGCTGTAGGTGGACCTTGTTCATTTAGAAACTGAAGAAGGTGGTAAAAAGAAACTGCTCACCCTTTGACTGTAAAATACAAGGTAGAATTATCTTGTGAAAAGACAGCCCCCAATTTCTGTGGATAAGGTGAGGAGCATCAAATGGAAAGAATCAAGGGAATGGTTCTTTTCCTTACAATACAGGCATGAATAATGGTATCCACTAATAGGGTAAAATAATGCCAGATTCCTGTAATAGATCTCATGAACACAGTATCAACCCTAAAATTCCTGTATCTGGCTTTAACAATAGAAACCTTAAACTTATTAGTAATGCATCCCAGTTAGAGCAGGAGAGAAGACAGGCAAAGAAAGGCTTCAGAATGGAGACCTCTAAAAGAAGCAAGCTTCCTTTCCTAAAAAGCCCTTCTTTTAGGGAGAGCAGTTTGGCCTAAGTATGTATACCTAAGTTAGGGTCTATGAGACCATATACCACTTTCACAGCCCTAGAGATGAACATACCTCATGCCCATCAGCAAAAGCAGCAATACACGGAAATGAATAGACCCTGCAAAACATTTCACAACGTAAAAAATAAAATATGGGTGGATACCCAACACAACTTACACATGTTCTATAACAAGCATTTTTATCTAGGGTATGTGATTAAATCTCTTTGCATAAACTATGAAAGAGGGTCTCAAACCTACAAATGGATACTACTCTGGAGAGATTTCCAGTCTCCATCTGGCTAGTATACAAGTCCAGTTTACTGGTCTACCAGCCAGGCTTACTAATACTCTATCTCTGCCTAGCTGCTGGGCCAGATTACAATGAAAGGAGTGAATTTAGCAAATTCTCATCAAGAACACTTTGTAATAAACCTCTCTCTACAGACTTCAAATCTTCAAAAAAAATCATTTCATAAAATCTCCTAGGGAACATGTTAAATATATTCCAAAGCATAAGTAAATATTCTAAAAATACAAACTGATAGAGGTAATTTTTAAACACATACAAACGAATCACTACGGAGAGTGGATCTAATCTCCTGACATTTCTATTCAATGGATAATCTAGTAGTGATAAGTTATGTATTTTCTATTCTCTCCTGAAATAGAATGGATCCTAGATTTCTAATATTAGATATTTTCAAAATAAAATGACACCCAGAGACATACTTACCTTCTCTTATCACCAAGTCGGTTATTTAGGTAATTGAGAAACCGTCTACTATCCTTCAAAGAAATAATGCAAACTTTAAGAGAAAAAAGCTTTTACTATTTTTTTTACCAGCATGTAGAAACGAGGGTTTGCTTCTGAATTCCCAGGATCCAGTAACATCACAGTGTTCCACCAAGATTCATTATTACAGGTTAATTGAAACAATACTCTGTGTTAGAAAGGGGAAACTTCAGACCCAAATTCTGGAAGGAACCCCCAGCCAGGAGATTTTCAGCTGAGGAATGCTTTAAGTTTCCAAAGGTTATGTGCACAGTTACATTTCACTGGGTTGAAGGGAAAAGAAATACATTTAACTAGTGACCTAGATTACAGTTTATATGCTAATCCATTGGGGATCCATCTTGCTAATATCTACCCAGGACGAGTCAACCACAAACCCATAAGCTTATACATTTCGGGTTTATTCTGGGAGCATTATCCATTGCCAATTTTCATCATCAAGAGTTCTCTACCCCATTCCTTCTTGGTTTCTCTCTTCTCACACAGGTTCTGAGAATAAGGATTATTGTTAGAGAGTTCTCCTACCCAGAAGCCAGGAAGAAGGTAAATTTGTTGCCTCCAAAATACTAAAGCTGAACAGACACCAACCCAGGTTTTTGTCCCTTTTCTTAGGGAGGATTGAATATTGTAGTCCCTCCTTACAATCCACATCTTTATGCAGCACTAAATAGACAGCAGCAATGTAAGCCTTGACCTAAAAGTAGTTCCATTAAGAAGACAATGGCTCTATGGGGGAAAGGATTTGAGAAATGTTACTTTTGACTTATTTTCGTGGAATTTCCTTGACCACGAGGGTATAACGAAGAGGAAAAAGGGAACTAACCTCTGAGTCTACAACATCCCAGACACACTGGTTTCTCTCATTCAGTTTTCACAGCTTTAAGGTGGGTTTTATTCCTATCTCACAGATAATGACACTGAGGCTTTGTAAGTCAACTACCTTACCAAAGTGCGTGCATCATGTAAGCCATGGAGGTAGACTCAAACCAGAGGCTTATAGTCTTTCCATTTCCATCAAAATCAATACTGGTTAAATAACTACTACCTATCTGGCAGTAGGCTCAAAGTTAATATTTTAAGTGTATTTAAAACTTCAGATTTAATAAAATTCTAATTGCATAGTGGTTTTGACCAGAAAAGCTTGGTTCAACACGAGCATGGTTACTAAGAATTGTACCTTTTCCTAAAGGACCTAACCTTCATTGTAAGAACTTTTAGAGAGAAGAGGAAAACCATTTGAGCTATTTTAGGATGAAGGTGAATATGCAAACTATAACCTTTTTTTGTGCTATTTGGGGGTATAATCGCCATGAACCCAGACTGCATGGAAAACACTGGAAATTACTATTCCTCTAAAATAGAGAGGCCTGATGGTTCAAAGCACAACTACCCATAATACTCCTCCAACTAGTTCACCCCATGCCAATTTCAACCTCCCCTCATAGCCCCAGCTGCTCTGTACAAGGCTGAAATGTACATTTTCTCTAGCTCTCCTACCACCTGAGATTCACTGAAATTTGTTCCCCCCCATGACATTTTCTTGGGCTGGGTCCATCATATTCACATCACCTGTCTCCAGTCCAAATTACCTTTAAAAAAAAAATCTGTATGCCCACATTTGGTACAGATATTCTGCTCAGTCCTCAGATCATTTCACATAAATGAGAAATAGGAAGCTTAAGAATGGCTCCTTATTCACTTAATCAGTTCTTAAGAAAATCTCCTCCCCTGAGCCCAGTGTTGAAGAGAACACTGAGGATGTTTAATAAGTATTGGGTAAGTAGACTTTTGATGACCAGGAATCTCACCGTCTCAAATTCTCGATCTTTAATTTCTTTGAAAGCTTCAGCAAGGACATCATCTTCAAACCACTCATGAACAAGCTCAGCCCTTGATTTCTTCAAGGTCAGTCTACACAATGCTTCAGAAAGTGCAACCTGCTGGTCATAATCTAGAGATTAAAAAATGGTAGGTTATTCTGAGGTGGGCATAAAGCAAAAGAAAAAAGGAGTTCTACAGATTAACACTTGTTCTAAGAAATTCCATCTTTGAAGACTGGCATTGTATGTTACAGTTATAGGCAGTAATATGTATCCTAAAGCACCATTACTTCAGTATTTAACATTAGCAGAAAATCTAAATAGGCCAGCATATAACAATTAAAACATTTCTACATTTTATGTTTTATATTAAAACACTCATCAAAACAGCCCCAACAGTCTTAGTATTACTACAAAAATAAAATCAGAATAAACTGTGATACTTCATGACTGATAAAGCATAACCTGTTTAAATTGCAAGTAATTTTAAGGATAAAAAATAAGCTGCAGCCAGATATGTACAACAGGAGGACATTTATAGAATGCTTTTAAAATTTGCAAAGCAATGTATGAAGTAATGAATAACTAAATTCTACTCCTGAAACCATTATACTGTATGTTAACTAAAATTTAAATAAAAATTAGAAAAAATAGTGTATGTGGTTTATGAATACATAGAAGTAGAAGAACATACTTTTGATTGAAAAAACAAATCCAAAGCAAGGATTACCTTTACCAGTGGGGAGGAGAATGGGATCAGGGACATGTACACCAGAAGTTTTACATGTAACTGATTTTACTAAAAAAATAAAAACAAAAACAACAAAAGACCAAAAAAACCAAGACCATGTAAATGTGGCAAAATGTTAGAATTTGACTAAGCTGGTTGGTGAGGAAATGAGTATTCATGAATTATTCTTTATGGCTTTCAGCATGCTAAAACTTTTCATAAATTAGGAGTGAAGTGTTCTTCCTATTTTCAACTTGACCATAATTTTTACCCATAGTTCTAAGATGCTCACAAAACCCCCAATTGTCCAACATGTAATACTCTAATATTTAAAATTCTAAACAATTCTTACCACCCACAGTCAAGATTGTCCTCGCAAGGTCTTTCCTGAAACATTTAGATAAATAACATTTTACTGAAGTGTACGTAAAACTTTATTGGCATTAAAATTTAAAACCAAGATGCAGGGGTGCCTGGGTGGCTCAGTAGTTGGGCATCTGCCTTCTGCTCAGGTCATGATCCCAGAGTGCTGGCATAGAGCTGCCCCCGCCCCCCACCTGTCAGTCTTTGCTCGGTGGGAAGCCTGCTTGTCCCTCTCCCACTCACCCTGCTTCCGTGTCTCTCTCGCTGTCAAATAAAATAAATAGTATCTTAAAGAAAGAAACCGTTGGATTTTCACTGACAAACATTTGAAAAAAATAACACAACCAAAATGTATATTTTTTAAAATATACAGAGAGCACACGCATGAACAAAGGAGAGGGGCAGAGGGAGAAGCAGTCTCCCCTCTGAGCAGGAGCCCAACACGGGACTTGATCCAGGACCCTGGGATCATGACCTGAGCCAAAGGCAGATGCTGGACTGAGCCCCCAGTCCCACCCACCAAGATGTCTATTTTTAAAATTATTTCAAATTCAGCATCAGAATTTCTTAAATGTCAAGAATACATCTTGACATATTTCTTAAATGTCAAGAAAAGTTAATGACTTAAAAGCATTTTTTAAAAGAGGCTAGAGTTCTTATACACTCAGAGGCAGTATTGCTCCTTCTGTAAAGGGAATTCAATTGGAGGATGTCTGAAGATCAACAAATGCTAAGATTCTGGAATTTTATAGTCCTCTCACCAACTTGCATGAATATATATATATATTTTTTTTTAAGATTTTATTTATTTATTTGACAGAGAGATCACAAGCAGGCAGAGAGGCAGGCAGAGAGAGAGGAGGAAGCAGGCTCCCCTAGACAGCAGAGAGCCCGATGCGGGGCTCGATCCCAGGACTCTGAGATCATGACCTGAGCCGAAGGCAGCGGCTTAACCCACTGAGCCACCCAGGCGCCCCACATGAATATATTTTTTGAATAAATCTTTTTAAAAACATAGTTGACACCTGAAAGAAATGCTACAGTAGGTGTTGTGAGTCCTTCCAGTGAGCTCTTGAATAGCTTTTAAAAACTGGTAATTTTAGCATTATAATGTAATAACTTAACCATATTACATCCAACAACAGATTCCCACATTATATAACAATTTCAGTTAAATGCTAACAAGTATGATACTGGTCTTTTAATGTCTCAAATAACTCCCATTTTAAAAAATAGATTGGCCAAGAAATCCTGTAGTTCAGTTTCTCATAAACAGATTGCTTTGTTACTATTAAGAAACCTTGCCTTAAAATAGTACCACTACTTTGTGCTTGCAGACTTTATATCTAACCTTAAGTCCAGAACATTCCAGACTTTTTAGGACACACAGTAAGGCAGGACCATACGATTAGTTTGAAAACTTAAGAGAAAACATCAGATCAGTTGTTCTCCAATTCTAAATATAACATTAAGAGTAATGATTAATTTAATCTAGTTAGTTTTTTTAGGAAATATTCAGTAGAAAAACTGCATCTTGCAAACACTAGTTAAATGAACAAACATGACAGCAGTGGGCTCCATGTTCCCTATCACTTCATTCAGGCCTATAATATGACAGACTTGGCTGCCCTTCCTCTCTTCCGTCATGGCTGCAAGTCACGTGAATGACGGCATACCACAGTATGTCAATGATGCTGGTTGGTGGCTAGCACAGTAACACATTTAGGTTCAAATTTTAGAGTAGGGTGCTGGTTCTGCTTTTCATGGCCACACATTACAACCTTACTCCTAAATTTCAATGTCCCAAGAACTACATAATCATAACTAGGCCATCAAAAAAAAAAAAAAAAATCCACTGGTTTTTTTTTTCCCATTTTTGAAAAGCAATACAAATGCCAATGGCATAGCTGAAAGTTGGTAGCTTTTGAGCATTTGCTACTAAGTAACATGGTCATCACTTTGAATGAGTTAGTTCATTCAACCTGTATAATAACTATCAAGAATTACAGTTGGCTCCACTTTACAGGTGAGCAAAGAGGTGGCAAAACCAGATCTGAAGCCCAGCAGTCTGGTCCAGAGTCTACACTCTTAACAATCTCCTATGAGTCACTAATTTAACTCACATTCACAAAGGAAAAAATAACCTATAGCCCAAGAAAGCATTTCAGCTCACAAACTTAACATACTATTAAGAAAGAACTTCGCAAAGTCTAGCTTTTTCCCCTTAGTCCTCCGTCACTGTTAGCTCAGAGCCTGTGCACAGCAGGTGCACAAAGCATTTACTGAAGAAAGCAATGAAGGCATCAGGTCTAAGGAGAACAGAGACAGAGGCAGTACAACCAGGAAGTTTTTACCCTTACAGCATCCCATAATCAAGTACAAGTTCACTTACATAAGACGACTTGGGCCTTCCAACAAAGGGAGTCGTCTTCGCTCTTCCTGAGGCATGTCATGCAAAATGGAGTTCAAAGTTTTCAAAGCCTGGAGACGGGGAAAGTACAGGGAAGAAACATGGAGGCCGATTGAACAACCCTCTTGAAGGCCTTTAGAGCAACTGTTAGCAGATTTGTTATTTGCAACTCACCTCCTGTTGAATCAGATGACTTACAGTCTTTTCTGTCACCAGAAACCCTAAGGTAAATATGAAGGAATCCAAAATCTGCATTTTCCCTGAAAGCATAATTTTAGAAAAATCAAACAGATACGAAGAAGAATAAGGAAATGACTCCCACAAAACAGGAAGAGGCAAAGACTGGAAACACCATGAGAGCAGTGAACATTTTAGAAATTGAGACAGTCTGGGCAATAAGACAGGGATAAAATACACTTGCAGCATTTAGACCTTCACTGAGGAAGAGAGCAGCATACACAAAGTGTGGCTGTGTGTGATTACCTTGTCTCAAGCAAAGCTACATTTTTTTTTTTAAATCCAGACTGAGGGACAGATATACAAAGGATAGCTACTGCAGTTTTGTTTCTTACGTTGTATATTTCTCCAAAAATAAAAATTTTAAAAGGTATTATGCTAACAAAAGCAGGGTTTAAACAAAGTATTGACCTTTATTAAACAGCATAATTATAGAAGCTTCAGTTATTTATGTCAGTACATAGTAAAAAGAAATGGGTATGTGATTATCTTATTGTATATCATATCAATACTAGCATTAATATTAGTTACTAATAGTATTTATGATCATAATACTACTTATTAATATTGGCTAATAATTATCGATATTACTATATAATGTTGATTATATATATATTAATTATCCTGCTTATTAAACTATGGTTTAATTTATGCACATTAAGATATAAAATTATAGTACATTTATGAAAAGTGAAAACATTTGTGTTAAGATCATAACATTATTTTCATAGGTTCAAAGGTGCAATTTTGATATATAGATTTTTTTGTCACATGTCATATACTCACCCCCCATAGAACTCATGAGATTGTATGAACCCCAAAGCAGAAAAATAGAAGTAAAAAGGATTCTTCTATCAAAGAAAGCCAGATTGATACTGCTGGATGAGCTCTGGAAATCAGAAGTTTGGCTAAGAGCTGTGCCAACAACTTGCCTGCCAGTTTAAAACTTGAAGATTTCAACACAGCCCAGATGGACAGCAGAGGATCCTAAAAACATTTATGTACCTGTTAATTAGCAACTATCAGGTGTCCTGTCTTTTCATTTACATAGTAAAGAAAACAAATAGAGCCTTAGAAAAGGGAAAGACGAACACTGCCATTAGGTAGCAGAAAAGGGACTTTTTAAAAAGTGCTTACTTCTGGAAATGAAGATTTAAGAAGCACGTGACTGGTCACAAAAAACTTAAGAGAACATGAATTCCAAGAAAGTCTCCACCCTCAAAGAGCCAGCATAATAACTTGTCCTGAGACTCGGCATGAAAGTAACAGTTTCAAAAGTATCTGGGGCACACACTGAAGAAATTGATTTACTAATCTCAGAGTATGTGGTAGGGGGGCAGGAATCTTTAGGAGACTTCTCTAAATACAAAAATGTTGGTGGACACCATTTTTCTTCCAGTCCCTCAGCTTACGTAGCTGGACATTTACTAGAGCCAGCAGTGACTCTCCCCCAGTCTTGCTAGAACCACATGCCCCACCCCCAGTGCTCCCTTACAGACCTGCCCCATCCAACCCACCTGCCTTAGAAGCCATCCTTACAGAGTGGCTCCTACCCCACCACACAATGCAAGGTGCCCCAGTGGGAAACCAGCACCACTCCAAAGAGACTACTGCCCTGGAGAGAAGGAAGAAATAATCCCACACACCAGTTTGCCCACAGTTCTAGCAGCCAAGCCTTTCCACGGATCACAGAGAGAGAAAGCCCTGCCATTAGGTACGCTTGCAACAAAGAGGCTGATTGCACATACCTAGTCTGACTGCCAATCCCATCCACCAATGAAAGCCTCTGAGCCACACAGGGAGAAAGGCTGGTCATCTGATACACAGAGAGGCTAATTCCAGACAACCAGACCGACTGCTGACCTTGTCCACCTACCAGCCCGCAGAGGCCTTACACAGGCCCCTCAATGCTGCATGGATCAAACCCTGCCCAGTGTACCCACAGGAGGCACAGTGGGTCTATGGAGCTGACTGGGGTGAAAACACAGCTAGACTCAACAGTAAGGTATATGCAGCCCACATTAGGAGAGACCCCAGCTTGTGTGGTTCTGATGACCAGAGGGCATGACACTACAGGGAACCACTGAACTTCTATACAAGGCAAATACTTTCTAGCCTAGAAGACATAGCTATCCCTCCCTAACATATAGAAAAAGAGTGAGGAAACAAGAATATGTCTTAAATGAAAGACTAGGACACAAACCACAGCCCAAGAGCTAAAAGAAATGGAGATAAGTAATATAATAGAGAATTCAAAGTAATGGCCATAGAAATACTCACTCGACTTAAGAATGAGAATGAGAACAACAAAGATAGAAAATATGAAACAAGTCAGATGAAGAACTCAAGAACTGGAACAAAGCAACAACAAAAACAAAACAACTAGAGGGAATCAATAGTATATTAGAAGAGACAAAAGAACAATTCACTGATCTGGAAGACAGGGTAATGGAAAAGAACGAAGCTGAACAGCAAAAAGTGAAAAATGAGAATAGGTTAAGGGAATTCAGCAACATCATCAACCACAATAACATTCGCATTGTAAGGATCCCAGAAGGAGTTAAGAAATGGGCAGAAAACTTATTTGAAGAAATAACTGAAAAATTCCCTAAACTGGAGAAGGAAACAGACAACCAGACCCAGGAAGCACAGAGAAATCCTAACAATGTAAACCCAAGGAGGTCCACACCAAGACACATAAATACTAAAAATGACAAAAACAAGTTAGAGGATTTTAAAAGCAGCAGAGAAAAACCGTTACATTTAAGGGAGACCTCACAAGGCTATTAGCTTATTTTTCAGCAGAAATATTGTGAGCCAGAAAGTAATGGAATGATATATTCAAAGTGCTAATAGGAAAAAAACCTATAACCAAGAGTATTCTATCCAGCAAGGTTATCATTCAGAATAGGAGAGATAAAGTTTCCCAAACAAAAGCTAAGAGTTTTCATTACCCTTAAACCAGCCTTACAAGAAAGGTTAAAGGGAATTCTTTGAAAAGGAAAGGCCATGACTAGAAAGTTATAAGAATTCACAGGTAAAAGCAGTTATAATTATAGTGGATTCAATCATAAAGCCAGTTTGTTAACACGCAGTAGTAATACAATCTGATCTACAGGGAAAAACAGTCAAGGGTAGACAAAATAAGACAATGCAAAATATATCATATACATAAAACATGGAAGGTGGAGTAAAAATGTGGTGCTTTTAGAATGTTTTCAAACTTAAGTACCTATCAACTTAATAAAAGCTGCTATGTACACACAAGAGGACATATATACCTAATGGTAGTCATAAATAAATAAAAAAACCTCTGACACATACACAGAAGAAAAAATGCAAGTGTAACCCGAAAGAAAACCTTCAAACCACAGGGGAAGAGTGCCTGGGTGGCTCATTTGGTTGAGCAACTGCCTTCGGTTCGGGTTGTGATCCTCGAGTCCGGGACTGGGACCTGTGTCAGGCTCCCCACTCAGCAGGGAGTCTGCTTCTCCCTCTAACCATCCTTTCTCTCATGCTCTCTCTCAAATAGATAAATAAAATCTTTAAAAACAAAAAAAACAAAAAAAAAACAAAAAACAAAAAACCACAGGAGAAGAAACCAGAAGATACATAAATAAACTGAAAAACAATTAAAATGCCAATACATACCTATCGATAATTACTTTAAATGTAAATGAACTATTTCCATTACAGGGAAGGTGGGGTTAGAAAACCCTGAGGTGACCTCCTCCCACAGATATAAATTGTTAACACTCAACAGCATAAATAACCCAGAAAACAACCTGAAGACAGGCATAACAAACTCCACATTAGGTATAGAAGAGGCCACATTGGAGAAGATAAGAAGGGTGGAGAGGAAGTGGAGAGCAAAACTGACAGCAGCCATTCATGGCAGGTGGAAGAGAGAAGCCCCAGAAATGAAGGGAGAGACATAGACTATCATGCCAAGGACTCCCACACAAAAAAGGTGAATTCCCACAACAGCAGGGTACATACAACACATAGGGGATACCCTCTAAAGCACCAAGTTCTAGTGAAGAGGGGACACTGCACTACAGGATAATGTAGGGCCTTTCCTTCATAAGGCTGTTTTTTTTGTTGTTGTTGTTTTGTTTTTTGGAGGGGTTCTTTTGTTTTGTTTTTTTGTTTTGTTGTTGGTAAAAAACAAACAAACAAAAAACCAAAAAAAAAACAAGGAGACATAGCTGACTTTCCAAACACACAAACAGACAAAATTAGACAAAATGAGACCGAATGTTCCAAAGAACAGGAAAAGACCATGAAAAGAGACGTAAAGTGAATATAACTAATATGGCTGATAAATTCAAAGTAATGATCATAAAAATATACAACGGACTTAAGAGTAGAGGATATCAGAGAAACCATTAAGATTAAACACACACACACACCCCAAAAAAAAAAAAAAAAAAATCACAAAATCATGAGCCAGACGGGTGCAACTGGGAGGTCCAGTTGGTTAAGTGTCTGCTTTTAGCTCAGGTCATAATCTCCGGTTCTGGGATCAAGCCCTGCATCAGGCTCCCTGCAGGGAGGCTTCTTCTCCTGCTCACTCAGTTTGTGAGCACTCTAATAAAATCTTAAAAAAGGGGGCGCCTGGGTGGCTCAGTGGGTTAAGCCACTGCCTTCAGCTCAGGTCATGATCCCAGGTCCTGGGTTCGAGCCCCGCGTCGGGCTTTCTGCTCAGCGGGGAGCCTGCTTCCTCCTCTCTCTCTGCCTACCTCTCTGCCTACTTGTGATTTCTCTCTGTCAAATAAATAAATAAAATCTTTAAAAAAAAAAAAATCTTAAAAAAGTAAAAAGAACCAGAGCAGCTCCTGGATGGCACAGTTGGTTATGTCTGACTCTGTTTGGGCTCAGTTGTGATCTCAGGGTTGTGAGTTCAAGTCCTGTCTTGGGCTTTGTGCTCAGCATTGACTATGCTTGTGACAGTCTTTCCCTCTCCCTTTATCCTTCCCCAAATGTGCACATGCACATGCATGCTCTAAAATAAATCTTAAAA